GGGGCCACCAAGCCTCCAATCCAATGAGTACCGGGAGCGATTCCTCCAGGAACAAAGTGACTGGGAAGTGAAGCTAACTACTCACCTCCATCTAATTCAGAGTTCGAGATTGGTGGAGCTATGCCTCCACTCCCACATGTCTCTTTATGGCGTGATGCTTTATTTATTAAGCACAGGGACAACTTTAGCTTCACCATCACAGTGGCTAGTAGGATATATATCTAATGTGAAACCTGATTTAGAATTGCGTCCTGTTTATAGGCATAAGTTATTTTTACTCTCTGTCCCAGTGTTATCCTCTTTAGGTAGAGACTTTACCATGGACACCTTTCCGGCAGCCACTCCAGTATGAAAGTTTTCCGCTTCAGAATCTCAAGAGGCCATAGATCCTAATCAACGAATCTTGAAGTTGATATTGTGCTCTGTAGACCCGTTACTGGGCAATAACTTCGAGATAAGCAAATATGCAACATCAGTTACTGAGTTACTCTGTGCATCCATATAGTACTACTACCGCGAGAGTAATGGAACATAATATACGATAGGTAAATTTGTAATGACGTATGGTGAATACGATATAAGTCTACATATAATACACAGTAACACTCTCATATCTTTAACTGACACAATGAGGCTATTAATTGTATAATTATAATTATAATGTATAAGTTACATTTGTAAGATTTGAAATTTGCACGTCGGTAACCATGAAGAAAGCAGTCTTCTGGGATGTGGCGCCGTGTAGATATTGTGTTAAACGACGTTCCTCCGAAACTTCGGTTAACACAATATCTACACAGCGCCACATCCCAGAAGATTGCTTTCTTCAATAAAAGTTACAATTTTGTATGTCTGGTGAAAGAACCCACAGGTCCATCAGCGTTAATGCAAAGCGCCCACCATCAGGGGTGACCTGATGCACATTTCTGTACTACCAATCTGTATCTCTCAGATACACTTCCTTATTTTGTTCTCATTTGCTTCTCGGTCTTCGAAGTAGAAGTCTTCCAGTAGGTTTACACATGAAATTCAGTATACCCTTCGTGTTTCCACATGTCTGTTTCATCTCAGTATATTCCAAACCACCCACTTTAACTGTATTAAAAAGAAATGAAATTAATGATTAAGTTTCTCCTTTGTATACATTGCTTAAATCTGAAGTTAATTAACATCTTTAGATCTGAACACCTTACATAGCAATTTGATTTAGTTTGAGTTCCTGTAAGGTCAAGAATGTCCAATTCTCCACGTCATCCAGACATGCTCTGGAGCCCCACTCGTCGTCCTAACCGATGGGTACTGGCAGCTTTTCCCAGGGGGTAAAGCGGCCGGGGTGTGAATCTGACCACCCACTTAAAACTAGTGCCGAGGTCAAGAAAACATGGATCTATACATCCTCTCCCCATACGTATTCACAGTGTAGTGCTTAATTAGTTAAGCACAGGGATAACTGTACCTTCACCTACTTATTACATTTTTGCTTTTTCCTACAAAAAGAGGCTGTTTCATAACTGCACAAAATATATCAGTCTAATATTCCGGATAATAAATATGCAATTAATGAGGGCTATTTTTCCTATTAGTAAACGTTCGGCGAATAAAATGCGAATAGGAATATAGAAGAAAATAGTCGGTCAGTGAGTATTTATTCAGTGAGAAAATGACACGTGTAAGAAAGATGACCCTGGACAATAAGCAGATAACAATGCAAGTACGGAAGATTTGCATGGATTTAATATATTTTTATCCTATATAAAATTACCAAAATTTGAAATAAGCAGTTAATTAATTGGAAGAAAGAGCACTCAGAAATGTGCCCAAATTTGTGGATTTTAAAATGTTAACAGGTTTAACGAAAACCACAATTGTAATACCCGAGCTACCATGTGTGCTCTCTTGACATGTTTCATTTAGCAAGAACATTAATTTTAAGGATGTCAGTTGGTACTTCTGATAACAAGGGAAAACATTCCGTATCGTTACTCTGCTTGAATTTAGTAAGGCATCATAAAATTGTAAATTTATGCACAAGTATAAATTTAATTGTTTCTTGCATCCTGTTGTGTATTTAATCAATATTAGAGTTAATTTTACCGACCACACAACACGTTTTTATTTACTGTCACACTACATATTTCGACCTCAAGATTACGTTCCTTGTCATGATGCCATCATGACAAGGAACATAATAGATCCAACATCAGAGGACGCGGAAGAACAAGACCTTCAAAAGTGAAAGTGCAGTCAATGTGATGAGTTGAAGTTTAATTCATGAACTTTTTAACCAAGTGGTAATAATATAACTAGTTACAGTGAACTAAATTTTAAATTTTAACTTTTAACATTTGTATTTTTAACTTATATTTTATAAGAAGAACTTGACACATATTATTGAGTGTGGACCTGAACAGGATACAGGGTCAAAATAAGTGGAAAAACGAATGTGATTGCGTGTGATTGTGCAACTGTGTTCGTACATCTGAGGATGACCTCTTGAGGTCGAAACATGTAGTGTGACAGTAAATAAAAACGTGTTGTGTGGTCTGTAAAATTAACTCTAATATTATGCATAAGTATTTAAAAGTTACTACTTCGTTAAAAGAATTCAGTTAGGCGGAGTTTTTAAGCACTCCGGAATAAATTGCCACTTTATGATAACCTACGCGACATACCAATACGACTAGTCCACATCGAAATGGAATACTTTATGAACTTTCTCGGCTTCCTTAAAGATAAAAACTTACTCAACTCTTAACTGTGTTAGTGGTACTATGAAATTATTACAATAAAAACAATAGGTTTAATTTTTTTTTAATTCGCTTAGTGGGGGATGGAGTGCAGCTGGGTCCACTCGGCACGGCGGCCACTGAATGGCCTATTGTACCTGCTCCGTGTGGTCATGATGAGGGAGAATTTGGTGGAATGAAGATTGGCAAGGGAAACCGAAGTACTCGTAGAAAACCTGCCCCAGTGCCACTTTGTTCACCACAAATCCAGGTTGACCTGACCCGGGATCGAACCCCGGCCGCTGAGGTCAGAAGCCGCCGAATAACCGCTTGATCTGTGGCGGAGCCTAAATCAATAGGTTAGTAAAAACATTTAATAGATTAATTAAATTTGGCATGATTTTATTTTTTAAGGACCTCACAAGCACTCCTGCGTCTCGTGATCTCCGCGAAGATGAATTATTCTATAACTAATACGAAATGCATGCCTATACAAAGAAAACAACCAGACTAATATCGGAATGGAAGCAATTGCACATGTTACAGCAAAATATGAGGTTGCCTTACCTTGGATGTTGTACTGAACCTCGGACATTACACGCCTCACTATCAACCCGCTACANTTCTGGTTAAATGGGTTAACCAACTGTTTTAGATTTTGATGTCCTTGAGCTGCACTTATTTAACTTATGGTTTCCTGTGGTTTGCTGATTGTGGTTCTTGAGTGCTCTTGTTGGGGCGAGAGTGTTTTGTGTTGTAATCCGCCATCACTCAAGACAGCCACAGTCAACAAACCAAAAACACGTACAACTCAAGGTCACAAAATTAAAACAGATTGTTAACCCACATAACCAGAGGTAATCCGAGGCTACCACACAAAGAACCAAAGAAACTTTACAATGAGTAGCAGATTCCGTAATCACAACAAACTGTACTCCTGAACATGACCGGTTATGGGGAAATATGGAGTGTCCGTGAAGAAAGACGACGAGTGAATAGTTACCGAAGTTGCACATAGAGGGCATAAAAGCAAAACGCAAAGTTAGAGAGACGGAACACAATTGCTTGAATCCCATAATTTTAAACCTGTTGGTAGGATTTTAGTCAAATTCCCTCCCTCTCAACAAGCCAACGAATCCGTGCCCAATCTCACGAAGGGATAGTCAGAAGCTAGGTCAGAGTTGTCAGTATCTGTAGCGAGTTTGGAGTGAGACGTGGAATGTCCGAGGTTCAATACCATATCCAAGGTAAGGTAACCTCACATATCACTCTAACAGATGCATTTGCTTTCGTTCCGATATTAGTGTAGTTGTCTTCATTGTATAGGCCTACAACTGCGGGCATTTATATTTATTTCGTATTATTTATAGAATATTTCATCTTCGCGGAGATCACGAGAAGCAGGAGTGCTTGTGAGGTCCTTAAAAGTAACGTTGACAATCATATCAAAATTAATTAATTTATAAAATGTTCTTACTTGCCTATTGATTTTATGGGGATATTTACATAATACCACTAACACAGTTAAAGTTGAGTAAGTTTCTCTCTTTAAGGAAGCAATGAAAGTTCATAAAGTATTCCATTTCGATATGGACTAGTCGTATTGGTATGTCGCGAAGATATCGTAAAGTGGCAATTTATTCCACAGTGCATATAAACTCCGCCTAACTGAATTCTTTTAAGGAAGTAGTATCTTTTAAATACTTACGCATAAATTTACAATTTTATGATGCCTTACTAAATTCAAGCAGAGTAACGATACGGAATGTTTTCCCTTGTTATCAGAAGTACCAACTGACATCCTTAAAATTAATGTTCTTGCTAAATGAAACATGTTGAGAGAGCACACATGGTAGCTCGGGTACTACAATTGTGGTTTTCGTTTAAATGTTAACATTTTAAAATCCATAAATATGGGCACATTTCTGTGTGCTCTTTCTTCCAATATGCACATACAATATAAGCATATTTACTACTACTAGTCGGTAGTATGTCAGTTAAAACAGTGTAATGCGAGTTTCGCCTTACATATTTTTTCTAATGAATGTCATGTAAATCAGTCCTGACCACTGCTCAATTGTACAGCAGAAATAAGGGACGGAGTTATAGAGTAAGTTAGTAAAATTAGTATAAAAATACATAAAATCTGGCTAAGGCCATATTAAAAAAATCTGTTCAAAATTATTTTCTGTGTAACTAAAATTTTTGTGATGATGGTTATTATATGGTCTACCATCACAAAAGTTTCTGTAGCGGGACAGGATAAATGTTGTCTTTTTTTTTTTTCGAGGAACTGCGATGTCCTTAATCAAACACCGGGGTAATGAAGCCACAGTTTTCGCATTCCGACTGAAAAAAAAAGAATTAAATGCATTTATTAGTTTATTCCATGAGATTATCATACAGTTCTGCCTTCTTTTGAAAGCAGAGTTGGTCTAACATTTTAGTTCACGGAGGACGAAGGGTGATAACTTAGCAACAAAGCTAATAAATTATGTTTGTCAGTAAGGTCGGTATGATTCTGGGAAGCTCTCTGCCTTCTGGTCAGTTGTCAGTATGTTCCCGAAAGTAAAGACAGCCGAAGCGCGAAGCTTATGTAATTTCTTCCAAATAATGCATACACAATACCCAAAGTCACCTGTCTTCTGCGAATTTATTTTTTTTATCTTGAGAAGGATGTCACGTAACTGTTCTTCAATCTGACGTCATGCTCTTGTCTCTCCCTTTCCAATGATTTTAGAACGGAAGTTACGAACATTTGACACTGAAAACATTAGATTTTAAATCATTAAATCAAGAATATGGACAGATCTCATTAACAAGTACACCTGCTATTGTTATTATCATCATCATCATCATCATCATAATTAAGGTTATATCCATCGGAAATTCTAATTAACATGATATCCATTTTGTTTGTATGTGTATGTGTGTTGGTGCATGCGCACTCTCAGTTGTGTAGCCTACATATTTACATTTAAGACACGTAACTAATCACCAGTATTTTGATGGGGCATCCGGAAATCCAAAACTGCTAATATCAGAACACCTGATTGGACACCTCCGAGCACCAGCATTTATATCATTAAGATCCATTTTCTGCCTGTAATTTTAAAAGGGGGGCACGTGTTAACGCAGTTGGTTGAAGCACTATGCTACAAGCCAGAAGGTCGCGGGTTCTATTCCGGAGTAGATCATTGAATTTTTAAAATGACCTAATACTTCCAGCCGCACTATGACTCCGAGGTCTACTCAGACTCTGACAGACATGAGTAACAGGAATGTTCCTGGGGCAAAGGGTGAAGTTCGGCCGGCGCGAGAGTTTCACTTCCGCAGCGCTGTAAGCCGATTGTTTACAATAAGGGGGAGAGCGTCGATGTCCTTGTTGTTGGACCCGTAAGAATAAGGAAATACATGGCGAGACACACGCGTTAACAAAAGCATCATAAAGATAAATCAAAAGCAGTTGGAAATCAGGTACATTTTTGTGGGATACTCACTGAAAATTATTGTCTGGCTGTAACAGTGATGTTCTAAATCGATAACTCCAGAGAACGCCTTCTGTTAAGGTAAATGAGGTATGGTTTCGGGAGCTATGGTAGATAATACATACCAAGTGGTGGGGTTCGTCGGAATCTCCGTATATGCTGAGACGGTGGTACTGGGAACGGTTTTCGCTGAACATCGCCAGATTGCTCTGTGGTTACTGTTTTTACATAATTCTCGCTTTTCTGAGATGTTGCTTCGCGCAATATATTGCTCGTCTTCCAGGTTTGCGTTGGTGCATACTCCTCATATCCCTAACACACGCTGTTGCTCCAAACTGCTTGTAACCCTGTGTTATCGCCACTCTATTTTTAACTTAAACACGGTGGAATGCCGTCTCACTTTTCCACTCACATCCTTCAGTTGCCGACAACATATTACCTTCGTACCATGGGGATGTTATTCCTTCATGCAGTTCGAAACGCCCGTAGGTCGTTGCCCCTGAGTTCTCTACTGGTAGTTCCGTCACACTTCCTTCATTTTCTTGTGTTTACGCATCTACATTTCCATTTTTCTCGCTCCACGATCTTCTCTTTCTTTTGTAACCTTTATCCTTATTACCTAATTTGTCGTGTTTTCCTCCTTAATTATTTATGTTCCTTATACCGAAGATATAACCATCATATTCATCTAGTTTAAGCTTTTCGGGGTTCTTTCTTACTGCAGCCTCCTGTTCCTCCGAACCTTCCAGCACCGGTTCGTCCGCTTTGCAGGATCTGTCAGATCCTGTCTCACCGGTGCTTGGAATCTCTTCTTCGCTGTCTCTGGCCGCAACTTCAGCCGGAGTATCCGTGGAGATGTCGTGGGAGACGAAGCCACTCAACTCGCTGTTTGACTGTAAGGTAGCTGACATGCCTCCGGTTGTATCTACGTCACCTGCCTCTTCAGGGAGGTGTTCTTCCAGTGCGTGTTCTGCACGATACAACAGATTTATAATCTATGGCACATTCACTAACAGGACAGTGTTTGGGTACAACTACAAGCTTGCAAGGACGAAGTGTATTAGCAATACCACCATAGTAGTTGAAAGTGAAAGATTTTCTGATTCATTCGATATCCGATTGGAGCTCCAGTTAATTTAAGACGAGAGAATATATTGTGTGGATTTTACTTCGCATTTTTTATAAAAAGCAACTTTCAATACCGTGATTTTATGTGATAATTATGTAACATTTTATAAATAAATATAAATGATAATTGTCTTTCATGTTTTATTTACTACATATGTGTTTGCAAACTGACCCTCACTAGTTGCTGAAGTAGCTGAACTGATATATACGTATATACATATACACGTATACGTGTGTATTTATATATATAAGCCCTCCACTGAGATACATTTATTCTAACCAACATACGCTTCTCAAGCACCCTCAAACAATGCCCTTCCCTTAATATGACACCACAATTTTGTACGTGTCCAAAGAAGAGGCAGGGCTTAAAATGATATTATTTATCTCTAGGTTGCAGACGGGAAAACCAATTTGGATCCCGAAATGAGTGGTAGCAAACAATTCCTAAATTTAATCTGCTATCATTGCCTTTGTTGTTGTTTCTAAATACTTGAACTACGTCCCATTCCCTTAGGATTCATTAACTAAGAACTGCGTTCATGTTGTATGACCTTTACACTTATCCTGGTGAGTGCATGAACATTGCACTATTATTTGTTTTACCTGTATTTACTTCTAGAACAGTCTCCTGATTGGCGTCTAATTTAGACTGCGTTCCTCGTACTCTACGATCCGATAAACAATTTACAGGGTATTTAACAAGTCCCTCCGGAAACCTCATCTGTAGATCAGATACATAACTGCAAGGGTACTGTGATTCTAAATTATTGTAGAACTGCAAAACTCATACGTATTAAGACAGCCTAGATCCAGACAACAGGGTTTGAGATTTACTCAAATTTTAGTTTTAATGTTTCGTTGTGAAAGACGCATAAATTCCTGTCTAGCTTCAACTCAACTTGCCTACGCATGGTTTATGTCTGACAAACCTAATTAGAGTTCTTAAAAACAAAGAAAGAACTTCCGTGCCTTTATTTGAAAATTTACAAACGCCAGAGAATAAAATATTATGAAATCTTACCTGCAAAAATCTGAAAGGATCAGGTCATTGGAAGATGAGTATTAAAATGGCTTAGGATAGGAACCAGTGGGACGCTGTTGTGAACTTTATAGTGAAAATTACATTTTCATAAAAACCAAGAAATTTCTTGGCCATCTAATTTACTATCAGAGTCGCAAAGGATAATTTAAGGCAAAGAGAACCTTATAATTGGCCAATTAATGCTTTGAAGTCTAAATACTATTTGAATTCCTTTTCTCCCTAGACGTCACACAGGATCGCCATTGCAAATGCCTGCCGGTTAATACTGTTCGGAGTTTATTCTGGCAATCTGTAAACACACGGCAGGGCCGCAGAGCGTTAAGGCAAGTAGCAAATAGAGCAACCACAAGAAACCATCACCATCTAACATAGAGTGTGTTGACATAGGCAAGTTTTCTCTTGGCCTCTAGTGTTTCTGATGTGATGGGACCGGAAATCAGTCCAATGACTCATAGTAATATGACACATCCCATATGCAAAGATTGTTTTTCTTTATGCCAAAGTCCTCCCTTTCTCTTTGTATCTCAATCACAATCCTTTCACTTATATTTGACTCATCTGCAAACAGAGCCTATGAAAGGATGCACCCTGTCGAGATAGGCCTACAGAACTTTGTACCACGTCCAGTGACTTCAAATTCCTGTAGCTGACTTGTGGGGTAGTGGAAATTTTCAGCTCTTGGTTACTTAATGCTTCAAGAATGGTACAGTGTTTTCGTCTGAGATCCTGCTCACTGTCGCCAGTACTGTTGGATACAACAATAATGACAACAATCAGTCAGCGTGAAGACAACCAATCTTTTCTATCTCACCGGAAGCATCGTTATAGTACTTCAGTCGGTTTAAGAAGAGACTACGGGCTGAACTGAAGGGGTTCGATGTCTGTCAGGAGCAAATATTTTTCTCTCCTCCACTGAGTTGAGACCGGCTGTAGGGCCCACCCAACCTCCTATTCAGTGGGTACCGAGGAATTTCTCACCGGATTAAAGCGGCCGGGGCATGAAACTGAGCACTCACCTCCAACTAGAGCCGAGATAAAGAATGGTGGAGCTATATATCTCTACTTTCTCACGTGCATTCATTCAGTTGTGTTTAATTAAGCACTGGGACAGAGTTACCTTTTTATTTATAGCACTGGGTTAAAGAATTTGTTCAGATTCTAAAACTGCGCTAAAGATTAAGAATTTTGTGCGATGAAGCGCATAGATAAATGTACGGCTTTGCAAAGATGCATTTTCTCCTAAGTGTCTGCTTGCTAGGAAAATATAACTTTCGCAATCTTGCCAAATAATTTTCTTTGACAATAATGATCTCTGATAGAACTCCAAATTTTGTTGTAAGAATAACTACGATGAAAGGAAGTCGGCTTGCTTTATTGAAACTAAAAATAACAGTAAAAGAAAAATTATCCTTGTACTTAATTAAGCACTACTCCATGACTATATAGACCCCACTTTTCTTGGCCTTGGAAATAGTTGGATGTGAGTGGTCAGCTTGACACCCTGAACGCTTTACCACCGGTGAAAGATTAATATTTTCAAAGTTAATAAATTAATACATTTAATAATCAGTAGGTCTAAAGATTAAGCGAATATATAAATTCATCTATTTCCACTAGCTGCAGATGAAACTAAGTGTGGAGTAGGGTCCTCCTTGCGAGGCTAAATTCACAAGTTCATGATCATTTTCACAAGAGCCCTTCCCTGAACTGTAACTCGAGCCAGCTGAATGCAGTCCACACATGTAAAGTTAAGTTACATTTTTTAAGACCTCTTTAGTATCCTCTCTTCCACACGTACTCTTCTGCCAAGGTTTTTTTTATCTTCCAGGATTTCAAGTTAAATTTAAATTAAGTTCTCATGTCTCCAGTGCGTTCTCTAAGCCTCGACACGACCCACCCAACAGGAATATATTTATTACTTGGCGACGGAATTAACCCAACAGATTGTAACAGATACACGTATACGGTTTCTGTTCCACTTATTCCCGAGTTTCANGATCAGGTCATTGGAAGATGAGTATTAAAATGGCTTAGGATAGGAACCAGTGGGACGCTGTTGTGAACTTTATAGTGAAAATTACATTTTCATAAAAACCAAGAAATTTCTTGACCATCTAATTTACTGTCAGAGTCGCAAAGGATAATTTAAGGCAAAGAGAACCTTATAATTGGCCAATTAATGCTTTGAAGTCTAAATACTATTTGAATTCCTTTTCTCCCTAGACGTCACACAGGATCGCCATTGCAAATGCCTGCCGGTTAATACTGTTCGGAGTTTATTCTGGCAATCTGTAAACACACGGCAGGGCCGCAGAGCGTTAAGGCAAGTAGCAAATAGAGCAACCACAAGAAACCATCACCATCTAACATACAGTGTGTTGACATAGGCAAGTTTTCTCTTGGCCTCTAGTGTTTCTGATGTGATGGGACCGGAAATCAGTCCAATGACTCATAGTAATATGACACATCCCATATGCAAAGATTGTTTTTCTTTATGCCAAAGTCCTCCCTTTCTCTTTGTATCTCAATCACAATCCTTTCACTTATATTTGACTCATCTGCAAACAGAGCCTATGAAAGGATGCACCCTGTCGAGATAGGCCTACAGAACTTTGTACCACGTCCAGTGACTTCAAATTCCTGTAGCTGACTTGTAGGGTAGTGGAAATTTTCAGCTCTTGGTTACTTAATGCTTCAAGAATGGTACAGTGTTTTCGTCTGAGATCCTGCTCACTGTCGCCAGTACTGTTGGATACAACAATAATGACAACAATCAGTCAGCGTGAAGACAACCAATCTTTTCTATCTCACCGGAAGCATCGTTATAGTACTTCAGTCGGTTTAAGAAGAGACTACGGGCTGAACTGAAGGGGTTCGATGTCTGTCAGGAGCAAATATTTTTCTCTCCTCCACTGAGTTGAGACCGGCTGTAGGGCCCACCCAACCTCCTATTCAGTGGGTACCGAGGAATTTCTCACCGGATTAAAGCGGCCGGGGCATGAAACTGAGCACTCACCTCCAACTAGAGCCGTGATAAAGAATGGTTGAGCTATATATCTCTACTTTCTCACGTGCATTCATTCAGTTGTGTTTAATTAAGCACTGGGACAGAGTTACCTTTTTATTTATAGCACTGGGTTAAAGAATTTGTTCAGATTCTAAAACTGCGCTAAAGATTAAGAATTTTGTGCGATGAAGCGCATAGATAAATGTACGGCTTTGCAAAGATGCATTTTCTCCTAAGTGTCTGCTTGCTAGGAAAATATAACTTTCGCAATCTTGCCAAATAATTTTCTTTGACAATAATGATCTCTGATAGAACTCCAAATTTTGTTGTAAGAATAACTACGATGAAAGGAAGTCGGCTTGCTTTATTGAAACTAAAAATAACAGTAAAAGAAAAATTATCCTTGTACTTAATTAAGCACTACTCCATGACTATATAGACCCCACTTTTCTTGGCCTTGGAAATAGTTGGATGTGAGTGGTCAGCTTGACACCCTGAACGCTTTACCACCGGTGAAAGATTAATATTTTCAAAGTTAATAAATTAATACATTTAATAATCAGTAGGTCTAAAGATTAAGCGAATATATAAATTCATCTATTTCCACTAGCTGCAGATGAAACTAAGTGTGGAGTAGGGTCCTCCTTGCGAGGCTAAATTCACAAGTTCATGATCATTTTCACAAGAGCCCTTCCCTGAACTGTAACTCGAGCCAGCTGAATGCAGTCCACACATGTAAAGTTAAGTTACATTTTTTAAGACCTCTTTAGTATCCTCTCTTCCACACGTACTCTTCTGCCAAGGTTTCTTTTATCTTCCAGGATTTCAAGTTAAATTTAAATTAAGTTCTCATGTCTCCAGTGCGTTCTCTAAGCCTCGACACGACCCACCCAACAGGAATATATTTATTACTTGGCGACGGAATTAACCCAACAGATTGTAACAGATACACGTATACGGTTTCTGTTCCACTTATTCCCGAGTTTCACTAACTAATGGCAAATTTTAATAGTTAAAAGAAAAAAATATGATTGTGTTTACAAACCTGTACTTAGTTTATCTTATTATGTATTAAAAGCATAATAATATCCACTATATCAATCTTCCGTGCAAAAGTTTATTTAAAAATACTTTACTGTAGGAAAAAACTTGTAGAAAATGTAACAAATTTAACTGCAATTTGATATATAAATTTCCACTGACAAATGTCCGCGTCTATTTACCTGGCCGTTTACAACAGAATGCGTTGTGAACTCGGTCGAATTCACTATGTAGGGTAAGGCTAGTTATGAGTGAGACATAAGGGCCACTTCCTTCATTTCCACGAAACAGAAGCAACCACTGCCTGGACACTTGTTGCCATATTTCTTCTTACTCGCAACCCAAGGGTGAAGTCTGAAAACGGGCCCAAGTGAATCATTTCTAACTTCTCAGTTTAAGAATTACTGCACTCTCATTGAGACCTTTTACATAACATTACCAGTCTGAAAAAAACAACGTGTTTTTTTTTGGGGTTTCTTTGGTTTGTTGGCTGTGGCTGTCTTGAGTGATGGCGGACTACAACACAAAACACTCTCGCCCCAGCAAGAGTACTCAAGAACCACAACCTAAAAACCAGAGAAAACCATAAGATAAATAAGTGCGGCTCAAGGACACCAAATTCAAAACGACACAAGGGAAACAAACAAGCTTCACAGTGAGCAGCAGATTCTGTAATCACAACAACCTGTACGCCTGAAGATGGCCGGTTAGGCATAAACACATAGTGTAAATGAAGAAATACGACGCGTGAACAATAACCGAAGTTGCACATAAGAAGAATGGAAAGTCAGATCTATTAATTGAGTAAGTTCCTCCATCTAGGGAAGTCGAGAAGGTTCATAACCAGTCATAAAAAAATGAACACTTTCTTTTGATTCTAATTCCCTTTAATAGCATCACATTATGTCATTGAAATCTGAATATATTGTTGTTCATCTTAAGGATGTCAGTCGGCTCTGGCAACACGGGGGGGGGGGGACTTTTTTG